TCTGCAATGCTCTGCTACATGTGAAGCTGTCATAGCTGTTTCCACTTTTCTGTTGCATATTCAAATAATAGTTTATTGATGGTAGGTTACCATTGAGCAGCCCATTGGGCAGGTCAGATATCCTGGTGTTGCTAAGGGGTTGTATGTTGCTTCTCCTTCAGGTTTAATAACTTGTCTCATTTTATGTAGCATGTCACTGGTATCAGGTGTTCTATTTCCTTTTATCATTTATAATTTCTTCTTTTCTATCAGCCTACTTATTTAACTCTCTCCCCCAAATTCTCCAATTTTCAGGGAAACCTTCTTTCAGCAGGGTTGGTGTTCTTGAGAGAAATATGCACAGCAATTGTACCTTGGTCCAGGTATTTGGACAATACTTACATGCCTGCCAAACTTAGTCATCTGCCCCAGTTATACTAGGAATAAAGCTTGTTATTCTTAATTCTATTTATTGAACAATCTGTCAATTTTTTCTTATTGAGTTTATGTAGGCCTGACAGTTGATAACTTGTTGTCATTATAATTTGAGAGAATCTGATAGTCTGTGTGATAGCAACACTAATAGGGTGGTTTGCGAGTTGAACTCCTTTTCACTTCATAAAATTCTTCATGCTATTCAAACTAAATTCTTTATATCAATTTGTATGAAGTGGTGAGATTTATCGATGATCTGCATCTGGAAGCGGTTATGTTTTGTTTGAGGAATCTATTTTATCATAAAAGCCATAGTAACTTTCTTTTGCTTTTGATTTCCCATATTGAACAGGTTGAGATCCAATCTGGACGACCACACCAAATCCGCATTCATCTTTCTTTCATTGGACACCCACTGACAGGTAAAGTCTGAAAGGTTCACGTTTTTCTTCTGATATTACATCACTTGTGCCTAGAAATAACAGAATTCATTATCTCCATGCACTCAAAAGAGGGTATCATTCTTACCATTGTATGTTATTTAGCTCTAGTGTCTTTCTATCTGTCTGTTCTCAAACAGCAAAACTGCATTCTCATGTTTTATTGTCAGAATATATAGAATTTAACCGGGTAAAAATGTCATTCTGTTTCCATTAGAATTTAAGGGAAGCTGAAACTTCACAGTTGTTTTATAACGACGATCAGCATTATTCTTGGAGCTATGTATTCTTTGCACATGAAGATTACATAATTTAATCAGGTTTTCGAAAAATTAAAACTTCTTTTCAAGAAACGCTTCCATTCTACTGACAGAAGTAATTTGTAGAAAGGAATGCATAAATACAAGTTCAATCATTGTCAAGATTTCCCTTTTCCATGTCCCAGGAATATATATAGCATACAAAGCAATCATATTACTTGACGCCCGAACAAATGTTAAAGTGTATGGAAAAATACATCTCCAGATGATACTTTTCAAGGGAAAAAAACTTCTCTTCATCATGCCAGCATGTGTTGCAATTTTGTTATACAATAATAAGTGAGAAATTAAGTTACACGCAAGATTCATTTTTTTTCCTACCATTTTATTCTTTTTACTGATAGCATTGCAAAGTGTTCAAAGGAAACACTTGATGCATATAGTGCTTTTTGAACATGATAAAGTTTCATTGGTGATTGCATATTAGAAATATGTGGAACAATCAATTTCTACAATGACAATCTGTCTAAGAATATATATGCACAGCGTTACATTCTACATGTTACCTGATGTTGCTTTAGCTACATGAACCAATTCTCGAACAGACGTTTCAATACTTTCTAGTAACCTGAAACTAATGGAAAATATACTCCGGTTATTTTTGGGTGGGGGTACTTGATGGTTGGATTAGGACAGGATTGTGATGACGGCTTCATAACTTGTCTGAACTCAAGTGGCTTTAAATCCTGCTAAGCACGACAAAATTACAACTGTAACTGAATCGTACAAGTGTCGTCCATGTGATATGAGTTTATTGAAACTGCATATATTTTGAAGTACAAGTAATTGTTTTGTTTTTGGCGCTGTCATATTTTGAGCATAATTTATCACTGCTTGGCAGGCGATCCTCTATATGTTGTTGGTGGGCAGCCAAAGCGTGTTGATCCTGAAGTAGTGGATGAAAGTTTTGCTCATGATGGGTATAAATCCTACCTTCCTATTTCTTAATAAGCAGAGTTATTTATATAAAAAGTTAAGAAATCATTTTCTCGACAGTTTCTAAGGCAGTTGTATTTTTACTAGTTAATTCATTTTGTATTTTGTTTTATCTGTGCAAGCGGGTATCATAGGCCAGAAAATCCTGTTCCTGGAGACTGTGGATACCACTTGCATGCGCATCGTTTAGTTTTCCCTCACCCCATCATGAATGAGGTAGGTGTCAGAATTATGCCATTTATCATCAGGCAATGGCTTGCGCATTTTAATGAAGATTTATGCCTTTGAATTGATAAAGTATCTATTCAGTTTCCGCTTACAAATTTCACATTCGTTTCCCTCCCACAGTTTGTGTTCTCACTTTACTTTCTAAAACAACCTGTAAGCTTAGGCGATCCTGAAGATGGAGTCTTGCCATTCATTATATTCTGAATTACATATAATTAACTCCTCCTCGAAATGTATTTCATAGTTGTTTCAAGAAGCATTAATATGGTATTCTTCCATGATTCTAATGTCCCGTTTCTCCCCATATAAGCACACTGCTTTCTGTTAATCACAGACAAAGGGGAAAGATGATAGCCATCTTCATGACGAGAAGTTTATGAACACATCGTTCACCAATAATTTAAGGAAACAACAGACTTTTTTTCATTTTCTATTTCTGACCATAAAAATGTTCTCTACTGGAGCAGTGAATAATGTATGTATTGTGGTTGTAGCAAGTACACCTGCCAAACCACACGAATTTTCTTCATGATTCAGAAGTTGGATGAAACTGAAATTTCTCCTTTTCCCCCTTTATTTTGAAGGTCATTGATATAACTGCATCACTGCCATCCATTCTCCAAACTCAAGAAGAGTCGAAAGCAATCACACGAGGTTAGTGAAGAGGTTCAGTTGAATTTTGTTTATTTCTTTCCCTATTTTATGTGTGGAGTGTAATATATTGTAACTTTTCAAGTAGTTTAACACCCATTGGATTGAGTAGAGGCTTATAGATTTATATTTGTGGAAATTGCTATGGAATAATTTTAATCAAAGCAACATAGTTGTCGAATCAAAATCGAGTAACCTTGTGCAACAACTTCATTACAAAAATGACAAATATTTGGGAATGCTTTTCAAAGGATATTTGTTTTATTATAAATTTATAATAAAATTAAGAAAAAACATTGGAGTTGGAATAATTCTGAAATAGATAAATTTAGATTAGATGGTTAATACTAGACTAGTGTGGAAATAAATATTATGATTTAATCACTAATCTAAGGGGTCCGGCCATATTGACGTTTCTTTGTCTCTCTAGCGGAGTAGATGAACAGTTCATCTTTTGTATGATGCAAAAATCATTATTTCATCTTTCCCTTTTTTGTAAGTTGCATCATGCATGTCTAGTGGGGATTAAAGTCGGATTTTTATAGAATTTGTTAAAAAATTTGATGTGTGTCGAACAAGGCTAAATCTTTCAAACAAGTCATTGCTAATCCTATCCTATCCTATCATGGGATAAAGCTTTTTGTTTTTTTTTTGGTCCTTATTAACATGGCTAATGTTCAACATGTTTTCTAACATTAATCGAACGAAATGGAAAAAATATAATTCATAAAATATCTGTAATTTTGAAATATTTCTTAAATGCGTGAAATGAAATCGTTGTCGTATTTTGCTGGTTATATAGAAGGTGCACAACATATCATTAATTTCGCTCCCTAAAAGTCCAGTCTGCGCTCACCAACCAACGTAATTGTATTCTCCACTTTACTTTTGACTTTTCCACAATAGCATATTAGAGGAATGTGCACTTATATTAATTCAATTTTTTACTGCAAAGATCATTCTACCCTTACTCTATTTTAAGTCGAATTAGTCTAAATGTACCGAATAGGGGTACCGAATGGTGTCCCCCCTCAATGATTTTATGAAAAATGATTTTTTTAAAATGAATTTTAAAAAAATGGGAGTTAAAGCTAAATAACAAAGGAGAGAGAAAAAGTAATTTCCTTTGATCTTATCTCTTGACTCGTCAGCAAAATATTGGAATAATATGTTAAAGACAGACAGCAGCAGCTGTCCAAATTTGGATGTTTTTAAAGCGTGGGCGAGTTCTCTAGAACCTACCTTCAGAAAAGTCATTGTTTCCTGCTGGAAATTGAAATCAGGTCCCACCAAAGTCGAAACACGTGATGTGAACATTCCAACCCAACCATACAAACCTACCACCCACGCCATCCATCAGTCAGCAAATATGCATATACACAGCTTTGCAGGTGACTAATTCTTAGAGTGAGGGGAAGATTTGACTTTTTTTTTTTCTAGACTGTGTCACGTAAGGCATAGTCCCCACCATCAAACATGGACACGCCAAAAAAAATTACCACCTGTACCTTGAGGTTTATTGTAAACCAAAATAAGACATTAATCCAGTCATTACCTATCAGAAAAGTTCCTTCTTTAGGATCACATTGAACACAGTGCCATGAATATAGATTAATTAAACTTTTCTAAACATTTCAGAGGCAAGATCCATAAAATTATAATGCAAAAACTAGGGAATTAAAGCATAGTGAAAATGATTACATAATTAAATGGGATACACCTCTTACAAACGCTAAACTTTTCAGAACGACGACTCTTCCAGGTTGATGGTGATTGTCCATAACGTATGCTTTCAGACAAAACATAATCACATCCAGTTAAACAGAAATTCCTCCTCCAAATCTTTTGACAGTTTATTTCTGTATTTCCATCAAATACAACAAATACAATATTACAGACCTAGGAATCCTCTGAACAAAAAGATGGATTTGAAACTGTCCAATGCCTAAAACTGCTTAATTCAAACAAAAACTAATATACACGAGGCAAGAATAAGAAATTTTGCCCTTCACTACGTGCCTACATCCCCTTTGCTTCTCCAAGAATCATCCTCTATGATGATGTTCTGTGCACCAAATTGTTTGGCCTTGGCATACTGCATTTTGATGACTGCCACAGGATCTGAAACACTGGTAGACTGGCCTCCAACAAGAACCCGACCTCTTCCAACGAGGTTAATTCCAACCCCTCTTTCTTGCTGTTGTATGCCTGAAACATCAAACTTGTTTCTTCTTTGCACCTCAGCATATAAATCCGGCTGCCGCTTCATATCTATTCTAAAAGGCAGAACTTCTTGACTCTTCAACACCTGATAATCGGCTGCTCCATTGCTGCTACTTGGTTCTCTAGTCGGAAAACAAGAGATACCATTTAAACTATGGCCATCGCTCCTAACAGCTCGCTCCAATTTGGCAGAGGTTGTGGCACAATTACTAAACGCATCAGGATACTTGGTCAGCAAGAGAGTAGAGTCCGGTAAATGAGGAAAGCCATTTTGCATTCTGCTTCCATCACAAAACCCAAAATTCCTAACAGGAACATGCTCAGAGCCCAAACAGCTGTCATGTTCAAACGGCACTTGATCTGGATTGAAATCAGCACTCCTATCACCCAATAGTTTTAGTTTGAATGACTGGTTTCCTGCTTTATGAAGCTGAGTCTTATTATCATCACTCTTGTGTATACTAGAAATTGGTTTCTGCTCAGAGGAGATTAAAATTTTACCAAACAATTTCACATCACCATTTCTGCTAGGTTTTTCCAAATCTGTTGAACTGCCTGATTGAGGTCTATAATGATCTTTGGTCTGTTCTTGGGCTGGAAGTGAAGCTTCAGCATCTGAACTATGATTTCTCAAACTGTTGCACTTCTGGAGATAAAACTCTGAATGCCTATCCGGATGAAAATTTCCATCTGACTTGGGGGCACTTACAAGTAAAATGGGTCTTTTACAATTCATAATGCTATTCCTCTCTTTCATCGAAACTGATGAAGGACAACCGCAGAGAACCTGGGAAGATTCAACATGGTCCAACAATGAGCTTCCTAAATGCCGATGACAATCACCTACCGAAACAATCTCTTGACTGGGTCCATCTTTAATACCATCGTCACCAATGGCTGATGATGAGACTTTAGTTGGAGCAGAAAATTGTGGCAACGAAATCGTGGGTGCTAAGCAATCTCTGTGCTGCAACGTAACGGTGTGAGACTTATCTGCGGAAGAGCTTTCCAAGCCAGTCTTCTTCTGGCATCCAGATAAAATATTGACCTGTGAAGAAGAATGCATGTCAGCAGAAGGACGAGAAGGAATTGCAGATGGCTGGAGCTCATAGTTCCTCTCTCTCTTTGAGCAGCTTAGGCTATTCGTTTCACCAGTAGTAGCATGCCCATTTTCAACTTTCTTGTAATTCAAACTACATTCAGGTAACAGGAGTCCTCGTCCTTCATTTCCTGGCCCATGATGCCCATTAGGAACCTCAAGCAAAACTATCTTCTCAGCCTCATTACTCGATCTGTTTGGCAAGGCATGGTCTTCTGCCTCTTCAATAACTTGTTCAGCTACTTCCTCAGAGGATACAAAAACATTTTTACGTTCTACAGCAGCTGCAGACCCACTATTAACACCATTTCGTTCCTCGCAGCCCACATCAAAGTCAAGATCTGGCTTATTATCCACTTGGCAATCAGTAGGCACAGAATTCTTTAGCACATGTTCAGTACCTATGGAAACCTGATATGCCATTCCATTATTATTCTCATATTTCTTAACATTGGGCTTCAAATTCATTGTTCCTACAAGATCAGATTCGCAGCTCAACAGAATGTCATCTTCCATCTCAGATCTTGACTTCTCACTGGAAATAACTGAGCCAGTCTCCACTACACAAGCACCTTCTGCGTCACTGCCACCTCCTTTAACATCATCAGATACTACATCCCCAGGTGAAGGATGAATCAGATCCAATCCAAGACACTTCCGGACCTTGCTAAAGTAGACCTTGCATTGATCTCTGGATCTTGTTCTGACACATCGTGAGATCTTTGCAAAATCCTTGCCATAGGATGACACGGCCTGAATGAAGATGGACTTTTCCTCATCAGTCCAATGAGTAGAATCCATCTCCTCACAGCTATCATCTGAACGTTCACCATCAACATTCTGTGTAACTTCGGCAGTTGAAGGCTGCCTTGTGGAAGAACCCACTCTGTGATACCTCCAATCCTGATAGCCCTCTCCAAGGTCAACAGAACTAGTGATGCAAGAACCCATAGCTTCTGATGATAGGGAGCCACAGATACCGGCCAACACATCAGCAGCCACAGTTTCTCTGTCATTATTATAGACATCAAGACCAGTCCATTGCTCTAATGAACCATGATCAATCCTCAGTGCTTTGTAAGCACCACCGAAAGAGTATCTAGATGTGCGATTCTGCTGAATTTCTATGCCATCAATAACATTAGCGGCGCTAGCTGAAGCTGAACCCACTATATCAAGGGAAGCTGCATTAACCTCACGATTCCATCTTTTCCCAGATGCAACCAGGTATGTATTAGTAGATCGGGACTTCTTTGGCTTAGCAACGTCTGGCCTCCTAGCCTTTTCAAAGGAATCAGACTTGTGATTCTTGTAGTAGAACTCTACACAATCTGCTGTTGTTTTATGATCCAGAAAAGATGCGATCTTCGTGAAATCTTTCCCAAAGGTAGCAAGCTTGTCAATGAAAATTTCTCTCTCTTCAGAACTCCAATAGTTGATCATAGACCTTTCTTTCTCGACAGCACATGGATCTTCCACCAAACAATTACTCGAAATGAACTTTGATATCATCTTCTCCTTTTCATCCAAAATTAAAGCTGGCATCTTCAATGTATTCCTACAGAGTTTGACCTGGGCATCTGAAAGCAACCTGCTGACATAATCACTTACTTCTGCTTCAGGCACCACATTAAAAATTCCATCTGCAATGACCAGTTAAAGCAAATGTTGAGAATTTCAGTATTAGTTACCACTAAATAGTCAATTTTGTAATCCATGAAAACATTTAAGCCTGAAGGCAAACATGAGAAAGAGGTAATCAGACAATATAAGCAATAAACGAGGAACACATTGAAAGACAGCTCTAAAGAAGACCACCACTCAGTGTTCACTGGTGGCAACACATGGGCAGTGGGCCTCAAAAAATCTATGCTGAAACCCAAATCCCTTCTGTCAATCGCCATTTAAGGAATTAATGAGAAAGACCAAAACTCTGAACAACTTAAGTTAGTGACTTGATGTGTCCCCCACAAACTAGCTGTATGCTCATGACAGCAAGTTTCTCAAGTCATCCATAATCAGTATCTTCGCACCCCAAAAAGCACTTATTCAGTTCATGTACAATAGATCACATTCGATGTAGTTGGAACTACACCAGCTTCAACTTAAATCATACTAATAGCAATCTAACAGCAGAAAAAGCATGAAGTGTACACAAAATAAAGGGACCAATGATATCCATACCAATGTGGTCACCCACATAAGACAGATAAAGGTGCTACCACGATGCCACATTCATTATAGAGAATCCTTGTCCTCTTTTCCTCCACATTGTTTTTTTCTCCATCATATGAAGTGTTTGAGAGAGAGTGCTTGAAGTGAAAAAATATTTTTATGGAGAATGTGTAGTTAAAAAATAAGGAAAAATTAGGAATCCACGTGCAAATTATTTTATCGGCGAATATGTGGTTGAAAATGAGTTTTAGGAAAAAATGATTTTCAAATAAGCTATGCCAAACAAGAAATTTCTCTTGCCATTTTTCTTTTCATTCTTTGTTTTAATTGAGTTATATTGGAATATAAAGGAAAAGAAATGAAACAACAGAAAAGGTGTGATATTCATGAAAAAACAAACACGCATAAACAGCACATTAACCAACATATAACTGCTAAAAGTTGAAAACCGTCCATCTCACCTCCTCAGTCTAACAACAAATCCAAGCTAAAATCAGTTTTCAGGTAATTGATCTAGCTATATGCTTAAGAACAAAACTGTTCCTAGTTCCTACCACTGCTTAAAAGATGAAGGCATGAGGTTAGATGGTTCACTTCTCTTAGTTCTAAACAAACAACTGCAGGGATAAGCCTTGTGAGTTCTCATATTTCAACAAAAGAGAATATCACCAAGTTGAGAGAAAAACTGAAGATATGAAATCAAATGTTGTTAAAAAAGATTTTTATGTAGAAAAAATATGAGATCCACTGAATATTCCATCAGTTTCCCACCTGACACAGTTTGACAAGCGGCGAGACCTGATCGGTTCCAAATCTTATAGTTGTAGAATATCAAGAGAACAAGCAAGCAAGAAAAACGCAAATGCCTAATCAGATTAATCAAGAGATTACATCATCAAATAATGAGGGCCTACAAAAAGAGATATGAAAATGATACAGCGTGTTTCATCATTTTATATAGGACAAACTAGAGCATTCATGATTCTAAATCTTCCCCGACATTATTTGCAGAAGGTTCATTTATTGTTGAAACTATATTGCTAATATTCAAAAGTGAAAAGTTTAGAGCATGTATGACAGTGCAGGAGGTTTTAAGCACTCCCAAATGCTCTTAGTCCCTTGTCATAGTACCAGTTTCCCGTATCTATCATTTGAAGGTTTCAAGGTTTAAGATTTGATGCAGAAAAAGCAGAAATTAGGGGTGTCTTAATCTTTTTGCATATCAATGCTGGCTAGTCTTATGCAGCAGACCAAGTAGTAACACATTCTCCTAAAATCAAGGACCCAAAAACATGACATGGACATGTTGGAATATCATTATCGAATCTTCCGAGGACAAATGTAGGAATTCAACAGAGTTTATCATATCAATGATGGACGAGATCACTGAAAGTTCAGAAGGAAAAGCATTGGAGAAAATAAGAAACGGGGGATTTTTTTTGGGCATGTCTAAACAGCAGTATGAATGGGATTTCAAAAGTTACGGCAACAAGAAGGATGGCACACAATTTGGAACAAAAAAATGCACAGTAATGCATTCTCTCCTTCAAGGACCCACGAGCATGACATAGGCATAGAGAGACTGGGGATATAGAATATCATTATGAGATTTTCTAATAACAAATGATTGTTGGGCTCCGATCAGATTAATGGACAAAGTAACACTGAAGGTTCACAGGGAAAAGAAATGAAGAAAGAGCCGACATAGGGGCAGTTGCTGGGCATGGCTGAAAATCACCATGAGCGGTGATTTTGATAATAAGGAAAGGAGATGAAAAGATGAAGAAACTGGGTCCAATCAATATCACACCTTATATTTTTGTCTTGTATCAAATGGAGCCAAAAGGTTTTGGGAAAGGTTGCAAATTCTATATCATAAAGTAAAACATTTAGAACTCGTTACAAACCAATCCAATCAAGCTAAAATTTCAAAGAATAGAATTCTCCAATAGAAATGCTGGCAAAAAAAGTTAAGCTCAATAGCATTCTCATTCAGTTGAGTAATAGCCAATTGACCTAATTGTATCCACAGGACGTCAAAGATTAGTTTCTCTAAAGTGTCATGTCACATATTCTAATTATCCAGAGTAAACTAACACAAGAAACAATCCAAACCTATTATTCTCCAATGAAAGATCCGATATGAGTAACAAAAATCAAGAGACACTTTAGTGTTCTACTTTCAATTAACCATAAAAAAACATTAATAAAGGAGCCAAGATGCCAAAAAAAAAAAAGGCAGATTTTTGTTTCTTTTCTACCTAGGGCGTTGAAAATGATATAATACTAAGAGAATTTCTTTAACACCAGATAGACAGCACAAGAGATGTTGAAAGGAACCCTCAAAAGAGGAGGGAGAAGCAGGGAAGAAGAAGCATAAAAAGGAATATATAAACCAAAAATTCATTACCCGGATACGAAAATTGAGGGATATCAGAGGGAAGATGCTTTTGAGATCTATGGCGCGTAAACCGAAACCTTTGATCTAACTTCTTGGAAGACTTCGCAAGAATTTTCATTGAAGCATGTAGACGATCATCCTTCCAGAAATGCCGAAATGCCCTAAACTTGAGAGTGATAACTTTCTCCTTAAACTGTAGGAATCGCCTCCTCATTAGAATTTTTTTCTTCACTATCATGGGATCACATTGCAAATAAGAGACAGTGGAATGATACTGATTGGCAGGCACTAACTTATTAAGCACTTCTGAAGCTCTATTTGCAGAATCTTTGTTAGAAGCCAGTATTAAATTATAAATATTTTCCCCACTGCCACTTAAAATGCTATCAGTAGACTGAGTTTGACAACTACTACTTAGACAAGGTTGAAAATCATCCACATGAGCGGGCACATCACAAGCGTTTGCCTCATCATTTAGATCACTGCCTCCCAGCTTCCTACAATTATTTACATCTAATTTCAAGAAACCGTCAATGGGTATTGCTGAATCAAGAGGGAAAGCATCTTGCACAGATGAAGGCACTTCAACAAACTTAGATGTTGCACTTCCTGGACTATCCATATTCTCTTCTTTCAAATCAGTTTCCAATGCATTAGCTGTGCTCTCTATAATCTTAATTCCGCTACGAGAAAACTGTAGTGGAGCACGTCTGGCAACTAGCTCTTCACAAGCTCTTAAGTTGCATTCTCCAGGCAGTGAACTGGATACTGGAGGACGATAGCAGCCAACTCTAGATTCAGATATCGATGACTTGAGTTCCGTTTCAAGCAAGTCTATCTCAGATTCAGTCCTCTCGACTGCTTTAAATATGTCAACTTTCCATACCATCAACTTTTTCATAGCAGTGGATTGCGCTAAACCAGCATCCGTGGAACTTGAATCATCAGATTGTAACAATTCATTAACGTAAGAGCTCAAATTAGCAACAGATGGGGGCTCCAAATTTTCTAAATTAAAAGCTGGTCCCTGACAGGGGGCGTGTGAAAGAATACTTCGTGAGCAGCTTAAATTAGCAGCATCATGATCAACACTGGCTACCTTGACTGATTGGTTTTCCTCAGTACCTGTAATAGTTATTAAACTTAAAATGAGATCAAATTAGAAAAGTTGAAAACTATTATTGGTGCTGATACAACCAGCCTTCACTCAAAAGAAGAACATAAAATCAATTTACACTCGAACAAATTTGCTCGACAAGGTGAAGATTTCAAACTACAACTTACTGCTAGGCTAAATTAGAACTTCTTTGCACATTAAGTAAAGAGAACCACTGCAACTGCTACATCATCCCTTCATTGAATTTCATCAAGGATGTAACTTTTGACCGTCAACACTAAAGGGCATAAATATGTTACATGCTTTGAATTATTATTCTACTTACCAGCACGTAATTCATTAAAGATGCCAAAGCAATTGGCAGCCTAGATAAATCAGCACTGATTTGTGATGAGTGATAGCAAAAAGTACAACTGATGTCAGACAAAATTAACAAGACATGACAGAAACCAACAAGCGAGAAACAAATTAATGCACAAGATCAAGAGAAGTTCAAAAAGGAAACTTCAATACAAAAATAAAAAGTGCATTAAAGATGGGCTAATTATTATAAAATGATTGTTCACCACTGCCCGTCTTTCAATGCTATGCTTGTTTGGCTAAAATTATAATCTCGTTATAATTTGAATTCAAAGTCAACTTCAATTATAACCACACTTTCACAACTACTAGTCACTTAATATCCAAACATTTCATGGGACCCATTACTCTTCATTAAAACCTCATTATAATTTCTCACAAAGAAGCGCATAAATGAAGGCGAAACTGGTGGATAAATCTTAGAGAGCTTAAGGGGAGAAAGACAACCTCTGCTGTCGTGGTAAACACAAAAGTTCACAAAGAACCTAAGCCTCAATGCCAGGCAGTCAAAAAATTGTCATAATTGTCCTGAATATGGGATACAGTCGAGAAAAAAACATAAATTGTCAATCTTTGTTCTATGACCATCTTGAAGCATCTATGTCAAGCCTAACAGAAAACGGAGAGGTGATAAGATCTATAATCTCAAAAGCAAAACTGCTATATCTATCTTTTGGTTAAGAGACAATTCTAATAAAGACCTCATGTGTCTTTAGGGGTAGTTTGACAAAGCTTTTAATAAAAAAATTTAGCAAAATATTGATATAAAATGATGAAATGGGTGGTTGAAAAATTGATAAAAGTTGTGGGTCCCACGGGACCTAAAATTCTAGCAAAGTTTTATCGAACAAACACTTAATTGTATAGCCACACATGGAGACAAGAACCAACAGACGATCTTAATTTAGAAAATGCACCAAACGAGGTAAGAGAATCTTTAATGTCACTGTCAAATTTATAAATTTCTTGATCCATTGTTCAACATTTAATCCTCAATATTTATAGGAAGGGAAAGGGCAGATATATAACAATAAACAAACATTGTAGTACATCCATATGTTTAAAAAGAAAAGCACAATTTACCTGGTGAGGAACTAAAAGCAACTGAACATGGAGTAGCAGGAGAGGCATCATCTGGAAAAACGGCTACTCTAGGACTTTTATCAGCCACATTTGCACAGAGAGAGAGTGCAGGTTCTTTTTTATAAATGCTAATGACCAATCCATTTTGGGTTGCGCCATCTTCAGGGCCATCTACATTCTTCTTCTCATACTTTGCCAGTCCCTCACCCCAGCCAAGGCGTGGCTTCTTTCGGGAACTTGTCTCTTCTGACGGGGAGGGAGTGGGAATGTTGGATTTCACACAAGCAGCAGCATCCCCAGAAGGAGACTGGACTGCCATCACGTTCTTTGGTTGCAGCTCAGCTTTCATCTCATTGGAGTCTGCTCCCATGCTCTTGGAGCTACTTGAATGGCTAAAACCAGATCCTCGAGAAGACAAGCTTTCTGACCTGGTCCATTTCAGGGGCTTCCAATCTATCGATCCCAGTGAGTTCTCTATCTCTACTTTCTGAACAGTGCTGCCCAATCCATCAGCATTGCTACCACTCTCATCAAGTTGATATTTCATCTGAGATTGATTATGTGATTTCTCAAATTTGGGATCAGGATGGGAGTTGTTCTTGTTATGGTTGTCATTGTTGTTGCATGTTTGCATATTACCTACAGATATTTGATCATTCACCTCATTATCCAGTTTTCCAAGACAACTTGGTGATTTAGGAGGTTCCCAAGAGTGAACCTTCCAGTCTTTTTGGCTAAAGGAACCCCTAGATTCCCGGCTATTTCTGAAATATCTTCCATCGCCGCGAGACAAAAAAGGCCGAGAATTGTCTTCATCAAAATTCCTTTCATTGAACCGAGACCCTAAAGGCGGAAACCCACGAGCGGACTCCTCAGGATACATGTGCCAACCACCCTGCTTACCATGACCTTCAGCAGAAACATTCAAACACCCACAAAAATGGGCCAAAAACAACATAGAAAAAATCAACACAAGCAAAAAAGCCAGTTCTTCACAGAATTTTCCTTCCATAAAACTCACAATTTCAGCAAAACTTTTGAAGGGACAAAAAGCAAAACAACTAGAGATCTATGCAGGTACAGTGAATGGATCAACCCTAGATTAGGCTCCATCGTTCCAGCACATCAGATCTGCCCGAAATATATTTACCAAATGCATTTACAGGTTCATATACAAAAAAAAAAATTGCCCAGAAAACCGGTTTCCACATCAAAATTGCCAAATTTAAATATAAGTTATATGAAGAATCTTTTTATTAACATACTAAACCTGGCGTACTTCATATTCCTCCTTCAATTAAAATTAATTCTTTAGTAACAAAGAAACCCGTTTACCAAAATCCCTAACTCCAACTTGTTAAAGGGAAAATCATCTTTAATCATCAAGATTCGTGAATAACTAATTCCACGTCCTCAATAAATCAAAAGAAAGCCCTAAAATCAGCGCGTGAAAAAAATAAAGAAATAAACTCACCAGGGGGAAGAGGGCGGGAGCGGAAATCGGAGAACCATCGTTGCTGGTTGTGGTGATGATGATAGGGAAGATGCGTGGGAGGAGGCGGCGGATGAAGCGGATGCGGCAGGTCTCGCCATCTGAAACCTCCAGCAGCACCAAGGCGTGTGGGGTCGGATCTCTCGTGCTTGCGAAAGTCTCTCCGATCCCAAGGCAATGGCTCCGGCGGCATGAAATATATAGTCTCTACTGTATCTGGTGGTTCTGCCAATTCTTCCTCCTGCCCTCAATCTCATCCAAACCCCCAATATGCATAAAATAATCCAATATATACAGTTTTAAATCAGCGGTTTTCGGAATAATGGTTTTCAGGGTTTGAAGAAAAAGAAGAGAGAGTTCTTGTGTTTCTCTGTGAGGGAAGCAATCAAAAAGAAATTGTGTGAGGGAAAGATAGCACGTGCTGTGATAGAGAGAGAAAGATCTCTTCATAAGAAGGGTGGGGGTGGAGGGGTGCGGTGCTTTATTTTTCTTATTAAATTTAAAAATTTAAATTTAAATTTAAATTTAAATTTTTAATTGTATATTTTATTTATTATTAATATGAAAGAGACGGGATGAGGTGAGACAGATGGGTAGTTGCTATTTGCCATGTCAAAGGGTTTTATCCTATGCATTGAGTGCAGGCTCTATAAGAGGTTTGTGCTTTTTTGCAATTAAAATATTTTCAGAAAATTGCGTGTTGGTCCTGATTGAGTAACAAGTTGGTCCTTAATCAAAAAATCAGACGACGTTAGTCCTTCACTGGTCCTCATGTACAATTCTAGTCTTGTTAAAATGGCAATCATATGAAGAAAACAAGAGAGAAGACGCCCTACGACCAACTTTGTCAATAGTTACGGAGACTAACTTGCTACTCGATCAATAGGTGCTACCTTTGAATGAGTTAATAACCAACACATCTATACTCTTTTGCATCTTCTCATTCTAAGCACAGTCCTATTACAAAATGTACTCAAGCATCTAGCATTGGTTTAAACTGTGTGTACCAGCTGACTAATCAAAGTTAACCTGTGCACTTAGTGATTATTCGAGTAAATGACCGATTCAGAAACTATTTTTTCCGATCAATAAAACGCTTGAGTAACTCCATTTCCTTAAGAACCCAAAAACTGCCTAGATAAGCAAATTAATAGCATGTTCCAAATCAACAGTTCATAGAAAGCAACATCAAAATTTAGGTCCGACAAAGTTCCCGGAATATGGAGGCACTTGCTTTTCCAAGGAAAAAAGGGCACAAAGAAATTAAAACGCTTCCCTTGGTACCCTAAATAAGGTTTAACCATTTATTCACCAAATGATGATTGGTTAGATTCCTACAATTACAAGTAGATGTGCGAGATCTAAAAATTTCCTTATCGTAGTTGTAGATGTAGTTTTTAGCACCACCAAGTTCCAGAAAAGGAAATACAATGATCAACATTTTTAAAGCAAAGAGGCGCGATCAAATAAAACACCAAAGTGAAAGAAGATGCTTCATGCCTATAAATCTTGTTGACATAACTAGGAATTTGTTATGGAAATATGCTGTTGAATGATCCATTAATTGTGAACAAGAATGAGAAAGGAAGGGATTACCAGTAAGGCCTTTGTGGTATGAATCAGGACCTTCAATGAACAGGAGGCTACGAGGAACATCCTCTTAGTCAACACCACGCACTCCCATGAAAGGCTCAGCAGCTTTTGATTGCAGACAACAGAACTAGAATTTCTTACCCTTGACATGGCCTTGATTCCCCTACTTCACTCCTGCCTATTGTTCATTAGGTGTGAAATAGCAAGATGAAACAAGAATAATTAACATGTGAACGGGATTTGATAAACGGAGGACCAATTTATCTGTCAAATTAACGGTGATGGCTCCATGCAATACAAAAGGAGCTCATAGTTTCTAACCCTCTGCAATCTCCACGACATATTACGTTTAGAAGTAGTGGAAGAACAGATTTTTAGTTAGATGTCAATTCTTATTATCAGTTTCTTTTTCATGTCATAATATGAACTTCTATCCAAGATCAAGAGAATTTCAAAGCCACGAGATTGAAACCTCATTCAATGCATTATGCCTTTACGATCTCTCAATTTCCAAGTCAACCCTGCTATAAAACACGAAAATGAACTCACATTACCAAATTCCAGTTTCTTTCTTTTTAATGCAAGTCTTTTTAATTATTGGACATCGTAAAAGAGTCTTTCAAATTACTGGGTTATAAGCATCAAACCCAGTACTAATCACTTTGCAAGAGTGCTGCTCTCGCTCTTTCCTGTTGGTGATTTTAAAAAAAAAACACTTCGATTAATAATGGTCCATTCCTTTTGCTTGTATCCATAGTTTATCAGTTAGTATATCATGCACACGAACTCATATGGTCTCTAAATAATAAACATAAGAACTGATTATAACAATCCATATTTCTACAAGTACTAATTTATGCACTAACCAATTCCATCTCACCACGCCACCAGAAATTAATATGTCGAAACAATATCACTGATGACCAACCTCTGTCTTGAGTGCCTAATTATGTATTTTCTTTTCCACTAAATTCCCTTATCTCAAGTCATTTTTTCCTTTTCTTTTCCTTATCTCAAGCTTATTTCTCTTAATGCTATCATTTTACTCCATGTGAAAAGATAAGCAAGCAAATAATGAAATCAAGGCAACCATTGTACAGCTCTGCCCATCACGACAGTGAAAAGTTACATCAAGATTGCACTTCTAAATTCTATTCTTTAACATAAATCCTCACATTCATAATCTCCGCAAAATAGATAAATGAAATTGAATTTTAGGCTCAAACTATTCCAAGACACTAAATGCATATCCACGCGCACATAAAGATAGGTAGGAAATGAAAAAAGTACCACTGTGGCAGAGGTGACAAAAAAGGCCGGAGCAGTGCTGGTACAATCTCAGCCTACGTCTTAGCAGAAACTGCTGACTCGTCAAGCAGAAGATCATCAGCTGCAGCACAACGGTTCAATGACTGCAGCAGTGAACCGGGCATACGAAGCAGCAAGGAATCAATAGTTTTGATTCCGACTTCCAATTCTAATAATATATATGGTTTTAGTGGAGATCAGAAAACTAAAATGTACAGTAAATATTCAGTAATTGATACTAATATTTTCCTAATTCACTCCACTACTGAGTACTGCCCAATTTGCACAACAAACGAACTATCAAACTCTCTTACTGGAGATTTTAAATGGGATGCCTAAGAATCAATCTGTGGAGCTGCCTATCTAACTCCTCAAATTATAGGAGGCAAGAGCTGGTTTTGTGAACCGAATTTCAATATATGCGGCTGTATCAACTTACTGAGGCTATACTAAAGCCAACCAGCTAATAAGCTGCTTTCTGCCAGTACCAGATAATAAAATTAGGAACCAAATATTTCAAAAGGTAAGTTGCTGCTACGACTTCAATGTGATATTTTATCAATATTTGATGAGATAATTCAACTCGAACAAATCCCTTGCTTTCTTTTAATGCAGAAATACAAAGCAACCTCAAACTTTATGCAAAAAAGAAAAATATATTTATCATTTCTAAAATTGTAACTCTAATAAATACCTAATTGTCAAATTTGGACTAATAAAAACATAAAAGATCTCAATCAACCCACAGTCAGATTCTCCACAAAATCCATAAAGCTCTTCAAAGCTTTTAATGCAATCACAGGCTAACAACGCCAAGATGAACCTTCTCTGCAACAGACAGAACAAAGAACATTTAGATTAAATAAATTGAATATGCACTTAAGTTATTACAGCATGCTTAGAATTGCCTAGTTCACACAGCAGAAAGACTGCAAATATCGGGATGTGATACCCCCTGGTATTTTTGGACAAACATAGACAACACGCGAAATCAGTATGCATCTAAATACTACAAAAAGTTAAGCGTTATAGAAATGTCTAACAAGGATGATTCGGATAGCAAATATTGATTAGGCCAATTGCAAGCTAGTAATGGTCTTTGTTTTACCTAACACGGAGAAGGTCCCCGCAGAAAGGATGGATATCATCAAGCCGGGGGAATTCCCCAATAATGGTGGACAGCTTAACATGACTGTTTTGCCTGCGTATTAGTATAGTTCACTTTGTGCATGCAAAACTGACGGATATGTGATATTGCGTATCCCTTGTGAACAACAGTCGGTGTTTGACATGTCCGCAGGAGAGAATGATATCAGTGAAGTCCTTCCCAGTAGTAACCACTGTAATCTTTTTAAAATTGTATTGCGCCTAGAATTCGATAAAAGCAATGCTAAACAGCGGTTCCATGTCTATTGCCGGAAGGAAACCGCTTCTTTGCATTCTCAAATAATTTCCAGTCACTTTATCTAGTTTTTGTTAATAAAAGTATTAAATGGCAGATTGTATAAAAATTAAAAGAACACAAACTGGATAGAAATTAGGAAATCGCATCCAAATAATTTTTGATTGCTGTAAACCAGCACTAAACAGCTTCTTTATAAACTATAATATCCAATAATTCCCACTGATCATTAAGTAGCAATGAGTTCTGTGTAGGTATTCAAAAAACATATACATTTATCTGTGATTCAATTTTTTAAATTCATATTAATATACTTTATTCATTATATTTTACAGATAGTTAGGTACGTCAAATCACAGTAAGCTCTGTAAACACTAAGAAACACAAACACGAGGATTTTTTCCCAAAAAAAAAATCGTGCATAAATATTAATTGAGATTAAGGGATAACTTACCAATTCGATTTGTTTCTCCGGCGCCGTGACAATAAAGAATATCAAATTCGGCAATTAAATTTTTTAGGGTTTACCTCTTTCCCTCTTGACTATTAAGAGCCAAAAATCATTATCTAAATCCAAATCACATTAAAATTCAATTATTGATTTCTATTCTTTGTTTTTCGAAATTAGATTATATTCTAATTCACCAAAAATTGACTGTGAAATCATTCTTATCGTCTAACTTAAGACTTACATATCTGAATAATTTAGCCTGGGTTTGGAAAGAATTCATCAACTGTTGTAATTTAAGAATAAATAAATAAACAGTATTTATAGCGCGAGTCTTGGTACCCAGTACGTGACAAGTCCTAATAAATTAATCATAAATTCTTGTATTTAATTGAACATGTAATTTAATGATACAAGTGATGTCATCTAAATCGGTATTAAACACCAGTGATGATGAATAACATTACTATTTTAATAATGCCTTACATTTCGTTTTTAATAAATAACAAATAATGTCTACAATTATGTTACGCGTATATTATTCTTTGCACTTTGCCACGTGGCAACACATCATTTAATAGTTTAAACAGTTTTTCTTCCAAACAATTTTTAACAACACATCAAATGTAGAGGATAAGTACAATTAGAGCGTATGTCTGGCATTTTTGTACCTATATCACTTTATTGTGAAATATCAAATCAGATGGTTTTGCAATAAATGCCTCCATATTCTGCTGAGTACGATTGTAGTATTGTACAATGGGTTTGAATACATGTGCACTCCAAGATTCTCGTGAGTGTCATATATAAAGCAACTTCCGCCAATGTCCACAACTATTAATTGAATCGGATTTCCTTTCACTACATAACTCTTTTCATGTGCGAATTTCATGTTATTAATTCATAATTAATTAACATTCACATTAATCTAGATTCAATGAATTTTTACTTGATGAATCTAAATCTTCAAATTTAGAGTTATTATAAATGAATTTATGAATTTTAATTTGTATTTAAATTCATATATTAGCAAGTAATTCTTATACATCGAATGTAGTATAAAAATATTGATTATTTGTAGTATTTCATCATCTCTAAATAATAGAAATTGAATTTTGAGAGTACGATTTTATTATCTTGAATTTCTATCGTAAATTTTGTTTTCTTTTAATTCGTTTAAAACTCATCGAATCCTCGTAACAAATTGGTATCAAATATTATTTTTACAGCAGTTATAAAGTATTTCTAAATAATGGGCAATGCATGTTCAACTTGATTAGTATGTATAAATTAGCCAAAAAGATGCTTAATTTAAAAAAAAAAAAATCATATACAGAGATTGTTCCCATGAAATCTCGTGTTTTGCAAAGTTTTTAATAACAAATGACATGAAAATTGGGTCACGTAGATCTTCTATTCTTTCTGGAATGCTCCAACATGACATCCCCAACAGTTTGAAGGACTAGGTACCATTCTTGTCTTTGTTAGTCCAACCAGTTTACAAGGCGATCGAGCTATATTTTATAAATACGTTTTATAAGATTCATAATTTTTATTAATATTAATATATTGTCAGCATGTTTCCCACGTATTACGACTTGTAAACACTTAAAAATACTAACAACACAAACATTTAATAGAATTTCAAAATTAATATTTTTAGAACGAGTCACTATCATTGAGGGTTACGTTTAGAAGCCCCGTTTTTATGAAAATTCGTTTTTTTCGAAACTCATCTTCAACCACGTATTTTTTAATAAAATAACATTATAGATATATCAAAAACTTTTTCTTAATTCTTAACCACACATTTTTAAAAAAAATCACTATTCAAAAATACATCTTTCTCTCAAAATGGGACTCAAACAAGAGTTTAGTGCATTTTGGCGAAGTTTATATTAATTTAAAATGTTCAAACACACTGTCCCTATTTGCGCCCATTTTCACGAGAAAAAATATGTTTTGAAATAATATTTTTTTGGAAAATGCGTG